AGGCAAAATAATGTTGTTAAAGGATTAGATACTACTGGTAGAAGACTAAATACTACTTAAAAAGGTTACCTAATGCTGGCAGAAGACAAGATACTGCTGGAATAAGACTAAATAACGTGTTAGAGTATATAATAGAATATATATATAAATAACGGATTAGATACTGCCAGTGGAAGACTAAATACTACTTAAAAAGGTTGCCTAATGCTGGCAGGAGACAAGATACTGCTGGAAGAAGACAAAATAATGTTGTTAAAGGATTATATACTGCTGGTAGAAGACTAAATACTACTTAAAAGGTTACCTAATGCTGGCACAAGACAAGATACTGCTGGAATAAGACTAAATAACGTATTAGAGTATATAATAGAATATATATATAAATAACGGATTAGATACTGCTGGTAGAAGACTAAATACTACTTAAAAAGATCATCTAATGCTGGCAGGAGACAAGATACTGCTGGAAGAAGNCTTTTTTGGCTAATATCTCCATTATTTTTAGAGATATGAAAAAACCAAATACAGCATTACAAAGCTTGATCTTTTCTCTACCTAAATCTATAATAATATGTAGTAATATATTATCCGATCGATCATAATAAAAATTGAAAGTTAAAAAAGAACGAATACCCTTGTTCAATTAGATATATTTAGAAGAAAGTTTTATTTTTAGCCAAAATCTCGATTTCTATGCATCTGGGAGAAAAAGTATAAAGAAGTAATATTATAGAGAATAAAATTTCCTACAAATTATGTATGTACGATTTTTTTGTATAACTTATATTTATCGAACCCCACACGGGAATTTAACAATGTGTGAAGAAAAATACTGTTTCCTCTTTTTTGGCTAATATCTTCATTATTTTTAGAGATATCAAAAAACCAAATACAGCATTACAAAGCTTGATCTTTTCTCTATCTAAATCTATAATAATATATAGTAATATATTAACCGATCTCTCATAATAAAAATTGCAAGTTGAAAAAAGAACGAATACCCTTGTTCAATTAGATATATTTAGAAGAAAGTTTCGTTTTTAGCCAAAATCTCGATTTCTATGCATCTGGGAGAAAAAGTATAAAGNACAAAATAATGTTGTTAAAGGATTAGATACTGCTGGTAGAAGACTAAATACTACTTAAAAAGGTTACCTAATGCTGGCAGAAGACAAGATACTGCTGGAATAAGATTAAATAACGTATTAGAGTATATAATAGAATATATATATAAATGACGGATTAGATACTGCTAGTAGAAGACTAAATACTACTTAAAAAGGTTACCTAATGCTGGCAGAAAACAAGATACTGCTGGAATAAGACTAAATAACGTATTAGAATATATAATAGAATATATATATAAATAACGGATTAGATACTGCTAGTAGAAGACTAAATACTACTTAAAAAGGTTACCTAATGCTGGCAGAAAACAAGATACTGCTGGAAGAAGACTAAATAACGTATTAGAATATATAATAGAATATATATATAAATAACGGATTAGATACTACTGGTAGAAGACTAAATACTACATAAAAAGGTTACCTAATGCTGACAGGAGACAAGATACTGCTGGAAGAAGACAAAATAATGTTGTTGAAGGATTAGATACTGCTGGTAGAAGATTAAATATTACTTAAAAAGGTTGCCTAATGCTGGCAGAAGACAAAATACTGCTGGCAGAAGTTTATTTAACTCGAAGAAAAACAAAAATGGATAAATTTTTAATAATATTTACTTCAGAAAATCACCAAAGTGCTATAAAAANAATACCCTTGTTCAATTAGATATATTTAGAAGAAAGTTTTATTTTTAGCCAAAATCTCGATTTTTATGCATCTGGGAGAAAAAGTATAAGAGAGCAATATTATAGAGAATAAAATTTGCTACAAATTATCTATGTATATTTTCTTTGTACGACTTATATTTATGCAACTAAATGCAGGAATATAAGAAAGAATGGAGTAAAAAATTCGTGGAGTAAACGAATGATAAAAAATTAGAAATACTCAAACATTTATAACAAAAATCAAATGAATTAATTTATTGATAGAATGTATGATCGAAATAAAGAAAAAAAAAGTTTTTTTCAAACTGTTACTCTATTTATTCATATATTAAATTAATACACCACAGCACAATAAACTATCGCTATTTCTGTATATTTTTCTTCATTAATTTTTAATCCATATAGGTACAAATATACAGTATATGCCACTGCGTTATTTCCATTAACTCTAAGAAAATATGTACGCTGGTCGAATTATAATATCTTTTATTTTATATTTTAAACATCTTATCTATACACAATAAATTGCATAAATTCCAAAAATAGAAAAATCAAAATATTTTTGTTTACTAAGTACGTATTTATTTATATTTTTTTATTAATTAAATCGATAGAGTTACAAAGTTATTTCGTCGACCAGTTTACATACCTTGAAAAAAGTTTTTGTTCGAAAAAGTATTTTTTTTTTTGAAAAATTACGTATACAGGATTTTGTAGCACAGTTTTCATCGTTACGTATATCATTTTTTGTGTTGTTTTAACGCCATTTTAACCTTGCTCTGAAAGGTTTAGCTGTTTTATATTACTTCGTTATTTATTTAAACCCGTAAAAAGAAAGAACATCAAAATTTTGGTATACAAAATATTTGATATTTTGCTAGTTATTACAAAATATCCTTGACTTTCGTTACGGAAAGCAAACTCAATTGAGTTTATAGAATTTTTAATTAAATTCTAAAATTAATTAGAATCAATACACATTTTTTCGTCGATTTCAAAGTACCCCTACATGGATCGTTTTTGTTTTGTTTCTTCGTTTTCTTCTTTATCATCGTCTTTCTACCTTTGGCATTACGCATAATCTTTATTTTTATTATTATTATTCTTTTTTTCACTGTTATTATACAATATTCGTAGTCGTATATTTCAATATCCTTTTTTTTTGATGTCAAAACGAGTTAATATATGTACAAAAAAAAATATTCGAGTTTGTTTATGTTTAATAATAATTAAATTTTTAATAATATCTACACAAAAAAATTTCAAATACCCGAATATTTTTTGGGAGGGATATTTAAAATTTTCGATTTATTTGTAATTTTATTTCCAAGGTGCTAAGAAGGAAAATTGTCTTTTTTGCACTGACCTTGAAATAAGGGCGCATTCACACTCATCAGTCCTATCTGTTGTCTTCATTCTCTCTCGTTTTCTCTCGCTCTGGGTGTGTTATCGTTGAAACAAATAAAAAAAAGAACAATTGCACACTTCACACTGGCCACTAGATATAATACACTTTTCTCTTTTTTCTTAATCAATTGTCCTTTTTATATCGATTTACTTAAATAGATTCGTAATAATAGTTAATAATATATAATTATCTACATATAAATAATTTACCTTTCTCTCTTTTTAGTTCGTTAATTAATTTATTACAAAAAAATATTTAAAGAAAAATATTAAAAAAAATATTTAAAAAAAAAAAAAACAAATAAAGAGACTTTTTACAACGTGTTATATTAATTATAATAAAAATTTAATTAATTAAAAATTATTTTTAATTAATTATTCAGAGGTCATTGCGGTTGTCGCGTTTAGTTTTTTTTTTAATTTTAGTTAATTTTGTTTAATTTACTTCCAAAAAAGAAATAAACAATATTTAAATGAAACCAAAAATCCTTTTCGAAAAAAAATCATTTAAATACCGTAGAGAAGAGCTTTGGACAGAGCAAAGCCAGTTTTTTTCTTAATAAATGCAAATGACTATGACGTATTTCTTTAGGTACATAGGTTTTCCTTGTATTTTTTTATTCTTTTGTGTGTGTGTGTGTGTCAATCGCCTTCAACACTCTCACAAAAAAAAATCATTTCTTATCCTACTCCTGCTGCTGTTAGTGCTATTTCTGATTACATTCACTGTGGCGATCCTTGCGGGCTGATATCATCGCCAGCTCCTTCACTTCCTCCTTCTCCTTTGGTTTTATTTTCTTTCTTCCACTTCATCCTTCTATTTTGAAACCAAATTTTTATTTGTCTTTCTGTAAGACATAGCGCGTGTGCTATCTCGATTCTTCTTCGCCTGGTCAAGTACCTGTTGAAGTGGAACTCTTTTTCCAATTCAAGCGTTTGATACCTCGTGTACGTCTGTCTGCCTCTTTTTCTTTCTGCAGAAAAGAATTAAATTTTTTATTAATCATAAAATAAACATGGTGTTGGATTTTATATTTGGCATCGGACGCAAGTTTCGTCGGTTACCGCGTGCGATTGGCTAAATATAAATCGGAAAATAAACGTCTCAGTCTGGCCAACCGCACGCGATATGTCGTAACACACGTAAGGCCTCTCTCTGCCTGTCGATAATAAATAACTTACCACCAGGCAGACGAAAGACATTAACGGTAATGGATCATTTTCGGGATGGATAACAATTTTCTAAATACATGGATAACCATAAAAAGAAATATTACTTTTAAATTTTTAATATGAAATGACCAAGAGCTTTTATCAAAATTATAGTAAACATTAATTTTATCTGGAAACAAAGTTACTCGTGGGAATTGTTATGATGTGGGTGGATTTGAAATATAAATAAATTGACCAACTTGGCACGATTCAAAATTCATAAATTGGAACCAAGTAACAATTCGTAATTGCAAACAAATTTATATATTAATATATCAATTCTCATCGCATTATTTAAAACCCACTTGGAACCATCTCCAAAAATCTGACAACAACGTCTCGTCTTTTCATATTTATTTTATTCTTGTTCGATTGAAACCTCGTTTTCCTTTTATCTCGGAGGTTATCTAATTAAGGATATTAGATCCACTGTGAAGTCTTGGGAAAGATGGAGGATCGTCGCCGAGAAAGAGAACGAAAAGAAGGGAGCACGGGGTTTGGGGGAAGCTGGGCGGGAAGGAAAGAGAAAGAGAGAAGAACCGGGACGGGGGGCGCCTCTGATGAACGTTACACCGACCGGGACAAGACGTGTAATTATTTCAACCCGGCTACGTCCCAAGTTTGATTTATACCTACACGGACATGAGCTCTGATTAGTTCGATGCTTCTTTAATTAAGGGTACCTTTTTAGACCTTTTTCCAAAAGTATTTTTTTGGTTTTCCTTTTCTTTGTCGGAAGATTTCAAAAACAGATCCGTCTTTAGGTTTTATATATAATTCACAGGTTGTTTATTACATGTAATATATCTTAGGAGTTTTTTGCTTAATAATACATTTATTGCAAGTAGGCATAAAGAAGAAATAAGTGGAAAGCAAAAACGCAATACTAGAAAGTTGGTACATCAAAGGGGTTTGTAAAAAAACACCGAAACACTAGATTATGCTGTTAAAGGATTAGATACTGCTAGTAGAAGACTAAATACTGCTTGGAAAAGATTACCTACTGCTGGCAGAAAACTAGATACTGCTGGAAGAAGACAAAATAATGTTGTTAAAGGATTAGATACTGCTAATAGAAGATTAAATACTACTTAAAAAGGTTACCTAATGCTGGCAGAAGACAAGATACTGCTGGAATAAGACTAAATAACGTATTAGAGTATATAATAGAATATATATATAAATAACGGATTAGATACTGCTAGTGGAAGACTAAATACTACTTAAAAAGGTTGCCTAATGCTGGCAGGAAACAAGATACTGCTGGAAGAAGACAAAATAATGTTGTTAAAGGATTAGATACTGCTGGTAGAAGACTAAATACTACTTAAAAAGGTTACCTAATGCTGGCAGAAGACAAGATACTGCTGGAATAAGACTAAATAACGTATTAGAGTATATAATAGAATATATATATAAATAACGGATTAGATACTGCTAGTGGAAGACTAAATACTACTTAAAAAGGTTGCCTAATGCTGGCAGGAAACAAGATACTGCTGGAAGAAGACAAAATAATGTTGTTAAAGGATTAGATACTGCTGGTAGAAGACTAAATACTACTTAAAAAGGTTACCTAATGCTGGCAGAAGACAAGATACTGCTGGAATAAGACTAAATAACGTATTAGAGTATATAATAGAATATATATATAAATAACGGATTAGATACTGCTAGTGGAAGACTAAATACTACTTAAAAAGGTTGCCTAATGCTGGCAGGAAACAAGATACTGCTGGAAGAAGACAAAATAATGTTGTTAAAGGATTAGATACTGCTGGTAGAAGACTAAATACTACTTAAAAAGGTTACCTAATGCTGGCAGAAGACAAGATACTGCTGGAATAAGACTAAATAACGTATTAGAGTATATAATAGAATATATATATAAATAACGGATTAGATACTGCTAGTAGAAGACTAAATACTACTTAAAAAGGTTACCTAATGCTGGCAGAAAACAAGATACTGCTGGAATAAGACTAAATAACGTATTAGAATATATAATAGAATATATATATAAATAACGGATTAGATACTGCTAGTAGAAGACTAAATACTACTTAAAAAGGTTACCTAATGCTGGCAGAAAACAAGATACTGCTGGAATAAGACTAAATAACGTATTAGAATATATAATAGAATATATATATAAATAACGGATTAGATACTGCTAGTAGAAGACTAAATACTACTTAAAAAGGTTACCTAATGCTGGCAGAAAACAAGATACTGCTGGAAGAAGACTAAATAACGTATTAGAATATATAATAGAATATATATATAAATAACGGATTAGATACTACTGGTAGAAGACTAAATACTACATAAAAAGGTTACCTAATGCTGACAGGAGACAAGATACTGCTGGAAGAAGACAAAATAATGTTGTTGAAGGATTAGATACTGCTGGTAGAAGATTAAATATTACTTAAAAAGGTTGCCTAATGCTGGCAGAAGACAAAATACTGCTGGCAGAAGTTTATTTAACTCGAAGAAAAACAAAAACCGATAAATTTTTAATAATATTTACTTCAGAAAATCACCAAAGTGCTAGAAAAAAGCAACTTAAGGTAACTATAATCATTTAAATATATTTTTATGTTGTAAAGTAATGTATTAACTTAAAAGTAAACACATCCTCATGAAAATCTAATTACAGTATATGCAAGAGGGGCAAAGTTCTATTTTGTGCTCACCACACAGACTTTTATGACATTATGCACAGAATGATTTCGTCATTCGTCAATTAGAGGAGGGACAAATGGCGTAAATCTTTCTTTTTCTAGAATTTTTCATTTGTTTAGTATAATCATCATCAATATAATCATCAACCTTTCTAGTCCGACTTTTGACAATTTCGACAAGTTTTAGTCCAGGGTTAAAAAGGTTACCTAATGCTGGCAGAAGACTACATACTGCAGGAACAAGACTAAATAACGTTGTTAAAGGACTAGATTCTGCTAGTAGAAAATTATAAAAAGACTAGATACTACTGAGAGACGACTAGATGCTGCTAGAACAAGACCAGAAGAAAGGATAATATTGTCAAAAGACCAAATAACTAACAAAAGACTAGATAGTACCGTTACAGCAACACTAATATGATAACAATAAGATTAGACCAATAATTTTTCACATAATTTCATCGTTTCTTTGAACTTAGTACTATTTGTCACTCCCAAATTCTGGACACTCCTATGTCTCCGTGCATGGTTTCGAAATGATGGTTCCTGGCAATGCTATTTTCTGTGCTTTTATGTGTCACACTGCATTTGCACCATTCATGATCCAATACACAGTTCCTTCTTATTAAGAACTGGTTTTCAAAGTCTCTTGATTTGTTTTCATCTCCGGTCGACATTCTTGGTCTTATAATAGTACGATAAATCATGAGCTTCGATTGTCTCTGATTGTTCATCGATTTTCTTCGTTTACTCTGCTAATGAGTTGTTTTTAATACTTTGGTAATTTTATGAATTATGGTTTTTATGAATCTTTGAGCTTCTCCGGTTAAAATTTAAATATCGTTAGATATGCAAGAATTGGTTAACAATGAATTACTTTCCTGTATATCATAAAAATGTGTTACTTTTAACATTTATCTACCAATCCATCCGCCTCTCATCTCCAATCAACAAAAAAAAGGAAAAAAAAACAGGATGATAGCGAATCCTATGTCCTGCGAGAATTCTCTGATTAATTGACGCCGTCCGGTTTTAATTTATTCATGAAAACCGATTTTTCAACGGCGCAATTTGCGTTTTAACCGATGTATCGAGAAAAGATGTTTGATAACCAACATTTTTTTCTAAGCCGCTTATTTTTTTGGCTTGACGCGATATCTCGCTTTCATTTTCTCAATTCTTTTGTCGGTACATGTGTGTGTGTGGTATCCGGGTTGACGAAGGGCGATGAAGAGTATAGAGAAAGAGAGACGTTAGTAGAAGCGTGTTTCGCCCTCGCGTTAGTTTTTTGGCATGTTCTCCTCGAGACCGCCATTCGTCTTCGTCACGACTGACGTTGCAGCGCCCCTTTTCTACCGCCCCCTATATGCCCCTACTCCTACTTTGGCCAGGAAAGGCACTCCATTCGTGGTTGGAATTTTAAATAGAAAGATCAATAATAAAAGCAGAAAGACTAAGATGTAATAATATATACGAAATGTAATAATAAAGTTAAATGAAATAATTGAAAAGATAAGATTGGGGTTGTTAGTGAGGTGTTAATCGGTTCTTAAAAAGGGTTAACAATTTAACGGGAGGGGTTGGTACTATCAAATCTGCCCGTGTCACATCCATCACTGCAAAATGCTTATTTAATGGTATCGCACCAGAGGCGGTGGTTGAGGCTCCGTAGTTGGACGCGAAGCGGCGCTGGTGGCGGCGGCTTCGCAGCTCCGTGCGTTCATAAATCGTCCGGACTCAACAAGTTGCCTATACAGAGATCGGCCTGAGGTTGCACATTGTTATGTACCGACTTCTGGTACCTTTTGGGGAGCTCCACTAACCGACCAGGATTACATGGTCTTTGGACCCTTTAAACCCACCACACAAATTTACAGGATTGTTAAAGATAATAACCCGAAGAGAAAGAAAAAAAAATTAGACACCAATTTCAAAATTGTGTTCAATTATTTCTCATCATCGTCGTTTCTCAGTTGTGCTATCTCCTTATTATTATTTCAATTTTTTTTCTTGCTTTTTTTCATCCTCCGTTCTCAAACACGGTTGACGGGAAGAGGACGATTACTTTAATTGACGTCGGAAAGTGTCACGTTCTATCATCGTCTCCGTGAACCAAGTTTTAATTGAAATCATCTCGACGAAATATTAGAAAAAAATAAAATAAAATAAAATAGGGTAGGAATTAAAACGTTTTAGGTAAACGAAAACTGTGCAAAATCAACTGTTAAAAGGAACAATGCTTGCGCAATTTTGAATGGTGTCTCAATGAGGTGGCACTTTTTGTGTCTCCTTTTCAAGACGTGGGGAATTTTCAAAGAAGGACAATTGGTAATTGTTATCTTGACGTTTATACCTGAATTTGAGTTTTTCGGCTACTGTTATATGGTATTATGTAATAATTTCAATGGATGCAGGTAAAATGATTTGAATATATATAATATAACTTACCAAACTGACTTCGCATCCAAGGATAAAGCGGACTTGGTAACGCTGCCGCATTACTATTTGGTTGTTGTTGATTGGGTTGTTGACCCTGTTGCATATTTCCCTGCTGATGGGCCGGTTGTTGATGCATATTGCTACCTTGTTGGCCAGGATACATCATGTGTTGTTGTTGCTGGTGGTGTTGCTGCTGGACATGTGGGTGCTGTTGCTCTTGCATGTGATGACCCATATGGTGGTTATTCATACCCTGAGACGTGTCCAACGGTGGACTCCCCGTCGGTCCTAAAACTCCACCTTGGGTGACCGCGGCCGCTTGCAACTTACAACTAGCGTAGACTACGGGTGTTTGGTGTCCATTGGGGGCCCCGTTGCCACCCATATGGATATTGTTAGTAGGACTATCGGGTCTGTATCCTTGATTGCCGTCCATTTGAGGCTGTTGGGTTCCGTAATATCCTGCGTTCCGAATATCCATGCGGTCGTACGGTGGAAATCGTGGGTACGGCATCCCCTGAGGTGGTTGTCCGGCGGCCGGTGGGCCCCCGTAATGGTGTGGTGGTATCCCTTGGCGAAGTCCTACGACGGAAGGGTCGCCGCCGCAGGAATTAGGATCTTGAACCCCGGTGCCACTGTGGGGCACCTGCACAGCGGCACCATAATGTTGGTGCTGGTGCGGGTGCTCCGCAGGAACCACTCCGCCATTCCGCATATCAGGCATATAAGAGTTGGCGAAATACGAGCTCATTTCCATTTGGAAGGCCGCAAATGGAAATTCTCGCGCACTTTTTCCTTTACGGTATTTGGAACTGAGATCACAGATACTTTATTATTTATTTATTTACTTTTTCGCTAAAAAGATACTTAGAGATTTAAATTTTGCTCGAAAACACTTAATTTTTCTCCTCGGGCACTCGTCACTTTCACACTTCAACACTTATAGTGGTGATGATCATTTTTCTCGTATGTACAAGGAGCACTCGAAGAAGAACAAGAAGGTAACTGCGGCCGGGCTCCTCTTCTTTCTAAGCTGATCCAAGGATCCGGTGAAATGGCCCTGGAAAAAAGACGAAACATCAGAACGATTTTTGGCAGAAATCTTTAAAGTTCTTCTCATTGGTGGTGACGCCACTGAGTGACATGTGTAAGAGAGGAGCCTCATTAGTGTTACTACGCTTCATATATACAAGATATGCGTTTGCATCTGGTGGTTGACCTTCATTAGTTTCAAATCCCCCATTTCTTTTTTTGAAATTTAAAACCACAAAAAAATTACTCCTAATAAAATTTTGATATAATTTTAAATCTCGATTATCTTATTTCCTTTTCGCTTTTTTCTTCCCAATTAAATTCTTATAGATTTGACGCGAGCAAACCTCTGACAAATCGGTTCCGTCGCTTCTGACGGTCAGATCTGGCAGATGACAAAGTGGAAGTCGCTCTTCGAGACTTGGATATTCGCCCGAGAGACGGATACGAAGAAGTATTTTTCTTAAAAATAGTCGAGAATCTTTTCGGGGTTTTTAAAACCACAACCGAGAAATGCGGTCGGAACTTTTTTGTTCCCTTCTAAAATGAAAGACCGAAAACAAGGACGTGATGTATTTTTGAAGTGGTTTTTAGAAAACCGGTGGTCTCTTTCATCGGATGATTATGATTTTTTAAGTTGTTGAGATAATAATTTGCACTCAAGATCGATTTAAAATAAATTATCAAAATAATAATAACAAAAATTTTCAGTAAGAATGAAGAATTGAATGTTTACTGGTAAGTGGAGTGTAAACCGTTGTCCCAGTCGTTTTCGAAAGGAGTTCCCCCGCGGAGTTGCGGGGGCCGTTGGGGCTTTCCCATAAATCCACGTTAGCGAGATCCCGGGGTTTCTCTCACCAGTCGAAAAAAGTCAACCTCAACATCAAAACATTGCGCGACTCCAAAAAAAAATTCAAAAAAGAAATCGTAGACCGCGAAAAAGCAAAGGCGACTACTTGGCTGGCATGGAGACGGTGGGGAAAACGTTTCCCCCTTGTCTCTCTCGCAGTACTACTTCTTCCTTTAACGAATTGCATGTGTGCGGAACTTCTCACGTCCCCAGATAAATAACGTGTCGTCCCGGCGACCATAACGCAATTAGTAAACGTCCACGATTTTCTATTACGGAGGGCGGCCGACGGAAATAACCTTCTGAAATAACATTTTCAGGAATCGTCGGCCTTTAGATCATCATCATCATCATTATTATGATGGATTATTTAAAATAAACTTATAAAAATATTTAAAAAACCAATATATATATATATATAATATACATAGATGGTAGAATCTAAGAGGAGTGTTACATCCCGGGAACGTTCGTGACGTCAGCGCTGAATAACAATTAAAACTAGAACTAACACTAGATGTAGAACTAGACACATTCAACCCTAATCTATCTACTTAGCGATATTTTTCTCCAGGTTCATCTTTATATTATTATGTATTATGTTAATATCTTTATTTCATTATTAAAAAAATGTCATTTTTTTTGCTACTCATCTAAATTTATTGATTAAACCGATACAAGTGTAGCACCGATTTGAAAATTAAATAATATACATCATCTTTAAATTTGATTTCTTTAATTTCATATTTTTACCTAATCTATCCAGTTCTAGGTCCAGTGTTAGTTCTACTTTTAGTAAAAAAATGATGAAATTTGCTACAACTTTTATTCTAAAAGTTTTTTTGTGATATGCTCAGATTCCCAAATGTAACCATCAACCCGAAAAGACAACAAATTCGTCAAATTATCATATTTTCGTGTTTTTCTTGATATATATGCGTCTGAGAGTAAAAGTGTAAAAGAGTAATATTGTTAAGAATAAAATTTGCTACAACTTTTATTCTAAAAGTTTTTTTGTGATATGCTCAGATTCCCAAATGAAACCATCAACTCGAAAAAACAATAAATTCGTCATATTATCATATTTTCTTAGTTCTCTTGATATCTATGCGTCTGAGAACAAAAGTGTAAGAGAATGATATTGCTAAGAATGAAATTTGCTACAACTTTCGTTCTAAAAGTTTTTTTGTGATATGCTTAGATTCCCAAATGTAACCATCAACAACTCGAAAAAACAAGAAATTCGTCAAATTATCATATTTTCGTATTTTTCTTGATATCTATGCGTCTGAGAGCAAAAGTGTAAGAAAATGATATTGTTAAGAATGAAATTTGCTACAACTTTTACTCTAAAAGTTTTTTTGTGATATGCTCAGATTCCCAAATGTAACCATCAACCCGAAAAAACAACAAATTTGTCAAATTATCATATTTTCGTATTTTACTTGATATCTATGCGTCTGAGAGCAAAAGTGTAAGAGAATGATATTGTTAAGATTGAAATTTACTAAAACTTTTGTTCTAAAAGTTTTTTTGTGATATGCTCAGATTCCCCAATATAACCATCAACCCGAAAACACAACAAATTCGTCAAATTATCATATTTTCGTATTTCTCTTAATATCTATGCGTCTGAGAGCAAAAGTGTAAGAGAATGATATTGTTATGAATGAAATTAGCTACAACTTTTGTTCTAAAAGTTTTTTTGTGATATACTCAGATTTCGTAATGTAACCACCAACCCGAAAAAACAAGAAATTCGTCAAATTATCATATTTTCGTGTTTCTCTTAATATCTATGCGTCTGAGAGCAAAAGTGTAAGAGAATGATATTGTTATGAATGAAATTTGCTACAACTTTTGTTTTAAAAGTTTTTTTGTGATATGCTCAGGTTCCCAAACGTAACCATCAATTCAAAAAGACAACAAATTCGTCAAATTATCATATTTTCGTATTTCTCTTAATATCTATGCGTCTGAGAGCAAAAGTGTAAGAGAATGATATTGTTAAGAATGAAATTTGCTACCACTTTTATTCTAAAAGTTTTTTTGTGATATGCTCAGATTCCCAAATGAAACCATCAACTTGAAAAAACAAAAAAATCGTTAAAGTATCATATTTTCGTATTTCTCTTAATATCTATGCGTCTGAGAGCAAAAATGTAAGAGAATGATATTGCTAAGAATGAAATTTGCTACAACTTTTGTTCTAAAAGTTTTTTTGTGATATGCTCAGATTCCCAAATGAAACCATCACTCGAAAAAACAATAAATTCGTCAAATTATCATATTTTCTTATTTCTCTTGATATCTATGCGTCTGAGAGCAAAAGTGTAAGAGAATGATATTGTTAAGAATAAAATTTGCTACAACTTTTGTTCTAAAAGTTTTTTTGTGATATGTTCAGATTCCCAAATGTAACCATCAACCCGAAAAAACAACAAATTCGTCAAATTATCATATTTTCGTAATTTTCTAGATATCTATACATCTGAGAGCAAAAGTGTAAAAGAGCAATATTGTTAAGAATAAAATTTGCTACTACTTTTGTTCTAAAAGTTTTTTTGTGATATGTTCAGATTCCCAAATGTAACCAACAACTCGAAAAAACAACAAATTCGTCAAATTATCATATTTTCGTATTTTTCTTGATATCTATGCGTCTGAGAGCAAAAGTGTAAGAGAATGATATTGTTAAGAATGAAATTTGCTACAACTTTTATTCTAAAAGTTTTTTTGTGATATGCTCAGATTCCCAAATGAAACCATCAACTTGAAAAAACAAAAAAATCGTTAAATTATCATATTTTCGTATTTTTCTTGATATCTATGCGTCTGAGAGCAAAAGTGTAAGAGAGTAATATTGTTAAGAATAAAATTTGCTATAACTTTTATTCTAAAAGTTTTTTTGTGATATGCTCAGATTCCCAAATGTAACCATCAACTCGAAAAAACAACAAATTCGTCAAATTATCATATTTTCTTATTTTTCTTGATATCTATGCGTCTGAGAGCAAAAGTACAAGAGAATGATATTGTTAAGATTGAAATTTACTATAACATTTGTTCCAAAAGCATTTTTGTGATATAAATTCCAAGGATTAATATTCAACTTTTACTGGTTTAACTAATCCTGGTTTTTGAAAACCAGGATTAGAGAACATATTCAAAGAGAAGAATCTAACTTTGGTGTACACATCTCAACATATAACCATGAATTCTACATAGATAAAAACGTTAAATTGCTTCAGAATTACGAAATTGATAGATTTAAACATAACATAAATAAGGTAGAATGTTTGAACGGTCAGGTCTGCTACTCGAACAATCCGATTTATAAATCCCTTTCTAATCCATTCCCCAATATACCGAGGGCTTCTATAACCAGCCTCATTTAGATGTCGCAGATATTGGGTTCCCAGAGGCTAATCCTATCCTTTTCTATTTCTATTTCTTTGTCTGTTTTCCAGTTTTCTTCAAACGCTTATTTCCTTATCCAATTTTACCCAGCTTTGCTATTTTTTGTCTAATTTTTGTCGTTTTCAAAGAAGCATCTTAATTTTATTTATCTTCATTTTGTTAATTCATAGCTAGACATTTTATTAATTTTAGTAATTATTTTTAATTTTTAATGGTTGAGAATAATTTTTGAATTTTAGTACCTATCTTATAATATCTATTAAAATATGTTAAAAACAACAAATTCGTCAAATTAACATATTTTCGTAATTTTCTAGATATCTATGCATTTGAGAGCAAAAGTGTAAAAGAGCAATATTGTTAAGAATAAAATTTGCTACAACTTTTATTCTAAAAGTTTTTTTGTGGTATGCCCAGATTCCCAAATGTAACCATATCATATTGTATTGTATAGCGCTGAATAACAACTATAACTAGAACTAGTACTAGCACTAAAACTAACACTAGAACTAGAAATATTAGGGTTTAGCCATCTTAAGCTAAAAAGTAAGCCCTCTAGTTCTAAGTCTAGTGTAAGTTCTAGAATATATATATATATATATATAAATAATTTAAAATAAGTCTTAAACGAGAATTGATTAAAGGAAACCCTGTAATTAAATTACGTGATCCCTCCCCCCTTTGTCCCTCAATGGGATTCGTATCCCCAGGAGCAAACAGTGGGTGATGGGGGATGGTCGATGATACGGGGGTGGGAA